CCCTTCCCTTTAAAAACCATTTTTACAAATCCTGTTACTCAGCAGCCACGGGCAGTGCCCGGGCGCAGGGCAGACTGGGCACCCTGCCCCTCCGCGGGATCACCCCGGCCACCAGAGCCTTGCTGGCCGCCCCGTCTGCCCCGTCACCGTGAATTGGGCTAATGAAGGCTATCGCCATACAGACCCGGCATGGCTGGGCAATACACCCCATCGCCACCGCAGGAGGGACGGCGTTTTGGCGGGGGCATACCGCAGCGCAGCGAGCGGCTGCTCTGGCAGCTCCGCAAGGGCAGTCACCGCGGAGGTGCCGCCCGGCAGAGCGCACCGTGGTGGCCACGGCGCTCAGCCGGCTCCTTCCCCACAGCGCTGTGAGGTGCAGCCCGCGGCGGGGCCATGCGCACCGGGAGAGGGGAACGGGGAGCGCCGGCGGGAGCCCCTGTTCTCCCCGCTCGGGGGGATCGTCATGCCGAAGGACCCCCCCATCGTTGGGGGTGCGGAGAGCAGGCGCAGAGGTACGCCCACGCCGGGGTTTGGGGCTCTTCTCAGCCAACACATCTCTGGAGAAACCTAATTCCATTTATGGTGGTCGTTTAACTTTAAAATGAAAAGACCAAATAGTATCACACGGATGGGAATGACCACGTTTCAGCCTGGCTAATTTGGACTCGGATTTGCCCCAAACTGAATTAAAATGCTGAAGTATTCTGAGAGCAGTATAAACGCCTAGCGAAGGTACGAGCCATATTGTGACCTCCTTCTTCACATTATTCTTTAAAAAAATGTAAAATTCAGTAAATACGAAAATATGCAAGTGGTGGAAATCAGGATCCACACTGAAGAACTTGCAAGTGACAACGAATTGGAATTCGAGTGGCTTTCTCAGTCGGACATGGCAATATATGTATGCTGAGCTACTGATAGCAACATACACAAGAGAAGGAAAACCTTTTAAAATTAGCATTTCTCATTCTAATCGGGAAGGGACAATAAAATTAAGAAATTTGGGGCATTTAGTGGAATGCTAAAATATGAAAATATCTTAAAACATACTTAGTAGCATATCTATAAATGCAAAACATTTCAACTTTGCTGCTGCATGAGTAGCATCCACAGAATTTGATAAATGCTTCTGCACTGCTAAATATGCTTAAACCCTTCAATGGGCAGTGACAAAGGTGACTAAAAAGCATCTTTATATTATGGAAAATATTTTAGGGTGGGTTTTTTTTTTTTTTTTTTAGAATTATATCTGAAGAATGTTTAATTCGGTTTTGGGCACTTTTTAGACAATTATTTGGCACTTCAAGATTTAGGTTCTTAGGCACAATGCGACAAGGTGAGTTTGGCCAGTCCTTCACCGTGCATCCTGTAGAGCAGCTGGAACTCTGCAGGCAGCTGGTGGGACTCCTGCCACTTGGTCGTGAACTTTGTTCCCTTCTTATCATAGTAGTGGTACGGGAGGTCCTCCCTCGTGTTGGGGTCGAACCCAAAGGGCCAGAATCCGTACAAGTGGATCTCTTCACATATGGCAGAAGCAAGGGTATACATGAGAATACCTGTGCTCAGCCGCTTGGGTGACAAGTGTTTGTTCTTCCAGTACCTGGGAAAAAAATAAAGGCATCTTAGTTTGGGGTGCGAGTAATGCCACTGGCTTGCTGTAATCAGTGTGGGGTTCTGGCTTGCTAGACAGTGCCCACCAGATCAGGCATGAACTGAAAAATAAATACAGTTGAGTTTGTACACAGAGAGAAGTATTTTGACACACTAAAAGCAAAGCAAAAATACACACCTGTTAACGTGCTGCATTATATTTCCTGGCCAAGCCAACTGGACCTTTAGTTGCCCTCTGTGCTCAACAAAGAAGTCAACCAGTGTTCTCGTGACTGTTGCTGAGGTGTGGAAGAAAAAAGCAGGGATCCAAAGAATGGCCCCATCGAGCTTTTTCAAACTTAAAAAGAAGTTGTTGCGATCCTGAATGGTCAAAAGGTTGTTGTAATACTTTTCCAGGATGCTGGGGTTGAAGGTTGTAAGGTTGGTTTTCCTTCCAACATCTTTTTGGAAAGCCTCAGTTGGAGCAAAATTGCAGCGAAAAACAAAATCAGATTTATCTATTTCTTGCCCGCACTGACTCCCGGTCAGGATCCCGCTGTTTCCAACCACGGCGCAAATGTTGTAATGCTTGTTCAGGATCGGCGACACGTCGGGAAGCAGCGATCTGAAGTTATTGCTAATGGAGAAAACATACTTATGGCTGGAATAATCGTAATGCATCAGCTGTCCGATCCGAACACTATTCTTGGTCAAAGAAAAATTTTTTATTACGTCGACATGCTGAAGGATTTCTTGCCTAAAATAAAACAGAAAAAGAAAAGAAAACGTGGAGTTGTATTCCCCTCTTTCAGCAATGCAGAGGTTTTCTTTCCAGCTAGACTTATTTTTTTTTTTAATGTAGTAAAGTAGCTTCCTGAGCAATGTGGTGCAATGGCTTTTAATTAATATAAATAGATGGAATTATGGAGCTGGCTCCTCACCTAGAGCTCTGCGTGGCTTTACTGGGTGGTCCCGACTGATGCCAGCTAAGGATGTGCCTGTGTCTCTGGGAACAGCGTCAGGATTAAAGTATGGGATTCCCTGTGTAAGCCTGTGGCGCGCTACCAGCTAACAGCAAAGCCCCCCCACAGCCCCCTTGCCGAGGGGTGGTACGCGGTACAGGTCTGCTCGTGCGGTCCCACAGACCTGGTGGGTAAATCCGCTGCTGGGGCTCGCCGCATGCACCTCGCTCTTGGGACCGGCCCGCGGATCGTTGGCGATGGTGGGTACCGTGTTTGCCGTGAGGTGTGTGAAGCAAACCCAAGCAGCTCAGGATATTCAGCTGAATTAACAGCAGCTGATTTTTAAATACATATATTTTTTGTGTTCTCATTAAGAAGCTTTGAATCAGAAAAACAAGTGACTGTCACTGTCTCAATTTATGTAAACATAATTCCTTAATGTCGTATTTGGGCAAGCACACTGGCATTTTTACAAGGGTTATTAGAGATACTTCCAAACCAAACAAAACCAACCCTGCTCAGGAATTTCCCTGGCAGGGCATAGTATTAGAAAACCAATATCACTTTACTTGCTCATGTTTATGGAAAACAAACAACCTTTCTTCCAGCTCGCATCCTCCAATGTCTAAGCATTAATGGAGTCCCACTGGGTGTCCTAATTATCAGTTATGGTTAACGGACAAGTGCAAAGGCAGATCCTGAGGCATTAGCTAGAATCACCAGTAGGGTGGCACAGAGAGACTTATGAAGGGTGGGCTGGTGGTGCCAGGAATGAAGCACTACTGAGGGGAGGCCACTGTCACGCCAGTCCCCCGGAAAGGATGGGGCGGGCAAAGTGCTATCTCCTCTTGGTGGCCCACAGGTCCTTAGGGGCAGGCAGCGTTCATTTGCACTAGAAGGTCATTACTTGCCCCGCTGTGCCTGCAGCAGTGCTGACCTGTGACTGGGCAGTGAGCAGAAGGGAGGAGAGAAGCCCAAGCCCTGCCCGCTAGCACCCAGGGGCGCAGCAGCCCCATCTCGACTCTGCCAGCTGCCTGGCCACAGAGCCGAGGGGCCTGGGCTCCTGCTCCTCAGGTGGGATGTGTGAGCCACATCTCTAAACCAGCAGGCATTTGTCAGGACAAAATTACAGCCCATGATGGTAGTAGCTATCTTAAATGGCTAAACGTTTTTCTTTTACAATTTTTTAAAGATAATAATAAAGTCTATAAAGTATATATTTACATATATATATATGTATAAAACTCAGTAAAGCCAATAAATAAAAGAGTCTGGCCAGACACCACCAAGTTCACATCACAGTGAGAAAACCAAAAGCATCTTTCACTTCCCATTAAGTATGGAGCAGCTCTGAAGAAGCTGAAGGAACCAAGAAACCCCTTCCATTGCCACATAGCAGGGAAGTCAGTGCAACCTGCGAACAGCAGGCAGAAGGCAATGCTTACAGAGAGCGTCTCCAGTGGGTCGGGGCTTGGAGGCCCCATGCGAAGCCCTGGCTCTGCCCGCCCCCTCAGTCGGAGCAGTGCCGGAAGGCAGAGCAGCACGGCACTTGCTCAGAACTGCTGTTAGCTGGGAAGTTTAGCTGGGCGTGTGTTGGCCTCCATGAACACGGCATTTCATGGCTGTTACGGTCTGATTTGTTTCAAGTTTTAAAAACCCAGCCATTTATCTTGAAGTAATGACAATTTAACTTGCACCCCAGGAAACTGGGTCACGTTCTGTTTGGTGAAATAATGTGTGTTGCAGCCTGGTGTCCTGCTCTGAAATAATCAATTCTTCCAAGATAGCTGTAACCATCTGGGGAATGCCTTTGTCTCTCACCCTCAGCAAATTACTCAGAGCTTAGAGTATTTAGCAATCCCTGATTGTATTTTCTTAAATCCTGGGTGGCAGGGGACACCTCTGGGAGGCTGAGAAGGGGAGGCGTGGGCGCACACTTACCTCTGCTGTGCGAACGCCGTCCGGTTGAAGGCCCACCTGGAGGGCTTCTCCTGCAGGTCCTGGCTCAGGGAGTTGGTGATGGGGACGAACGAGGGGTCCAGGAACTTCAGCGCGAACTGCGACCTGGAAACGAGCACACACGCCCACGCAGACACACACACACACAGACATGGACCCATGCAGACACACATACCCATGCAGACACACAAACCCACGCAGACACACACACACACACACAGACCCACAGACAGACAGACAGACCCGCCGCTCGTTACTGGCCGTGCCCGACCCGCCCCCCCGGCCGGCCC